TGTTGCCACAACGTAGGTTTGCTATTGTATGTATTGGAATAACATCTAACATCTATTATTTTCTAAGTTGTAACATTTCATTTAAGAGTTTTTATAAAGGGAACAATCCAGTGGTGGGTTGCTCATCCCATTCCAACTGGTACGGTTGGAATGGGGCTGGCGGCGTCTTCGTGCACGCGCGCAGTTCACGCATGCGTCTGGAACAATCCCTGTATTGAGTAAGCTGTTCTCATTGATGTCTATAAGAATAGATATTTCCACCACGTATTCCATGGTTCCTTTCCATTAGCTTATGTTGATTAGTATGAAATCAAGAAAAGGAAATCCCAACTTTCACTCTGCAGTCTGGTGCAAGGCTACAGCCTTTTGGGAACCGGGCCATGCAAGCAGTGGGTGAGTGCGCGAAGCTGCATTTGTGCAAGCGGCACACACACAAAACCATTCCCTCTCTTCCCCCACTGCCACTGGCGGTCCACAAAACTGGAAAGGTTGGGGACCGCTGGTCAAGAACAGCTTGGTTGCCTGATACACTGTTATTTGATAGATCCCAATTTCTTGCTTTGAACAGTGCCTTATGTATAATCTGAAAACAATATATAAATTTAATAAATTAATTAATTAATATCCTTTTTCTAACACTTCAATATTTCACATATAATACCAGTATTGACTCAAAATGTTATATGTTAATCAGTCTACATCTGATCAGTTAATGTGAAATGATATATAGAAACTTTGTACAGTATAAATGTTGGCAAGGAAAATATTATTTTACCCAGAAGAAAATAAAGTCTTCAGAGAATAACATAACAAAATATGCAGAGAAAGCAGCACTACTGGAGATTGGATTTGACACATTACTTTTAGGCAATATAATATTATATATTATATAATATATTATGTTTTATATTGTATTATATTGTATTGTATTATATTGTATTGTATTGTATTATATCATATCATATTACATTACATTACATTAATTATATATTATGTATATTAACTGCAACCACTTAATTTGTCTAAATCCACGTCATTGCATTATTTTATTTTATTTCATTATAGCTCCATTCTTTACTAGTAATTAAAGTATTTGAATTTTTTATTTCCATACAGAGGAAACGGCACTATTGGAGATTGGATAGCAAATGCATCACTTTGTTTCAAAATGAAACTGAAAGCAAATATTACAAGGTAAAAATGGGTTCACTTTTAAGGCGAAGTTTAATTCCATACTTATTTGGACTTGGATGCTGCCTGACTTCAATTGGCTCTGGATGGGCACAACATAAAAAAAAACATATATATAATTAAAAAATCCAGCCATAACAATAATGAGAGTTGTCCTCTGAAGAAGGTTATCTCATTGCTAGGAGTGGGGAAGGTACTTGTCTCTTTCACATGCTAATGTCTAGGAAACAAACTTGGCTTAGTTTTCCCAGTGATTTGGGAGAATCCGACTTCAGCTCCAGTTTAAATCTGAGCAAACAAGAATAATGTTTTTAATATACTTAGCATGGAAATTGTGGGTTTCCAAACCTTGAATTAAACTTGATCTTACCAAGTTTCTCCAATGTTTCTAGTTAGCCTGTGCAAATTATCTGATGAGCCTTCACTGATGAATTAAACATTCCTCTGGATCTGCTTCTCAAAGCCATGGAGCAGCTGCTGCTGCTTTGAAAGCTCAGAATAACTGCTTCCAGGTCCTCCTGAGATCTTTTGGACATGCATTTGCATGCCCAGAAGACATTTCCAGTGGGGTAGTTAGCAAATCAGCTCATCAAATGATTTGTAAAAACCTAATGTCTAATACATCACTATTGATGCCAATATTTATCATTTAATTACTATACATAATTATAATATTTAAATCGGCAGATGCCATGCAAAATGTAGGAGGTAATATTTAAACCTAACCTTTCCCTGAGCTTTTTTTTTTAAATTGGGGTTTCTAAGAATAAAGAAAGCTGTCTGCAATTATCTTTTCAGTTATTCTAATATTAACCATGATTTTGGCTAAAAGTACTATCTGGATTCTAGCAGAATATTTGTGAGTGAGGGAGATGGGTGGTTTTAAAATGTGATAAATAAATAAATGAATAAAGTTAAAAAAACTTTAGTGATTTGTAGATTGTTAGGAACAAGGTGTGTGTGTGTGTGTGTGTGTCTGTGTGTGTCTAGGATTGAGCTGTTGCTATTTAGAACAAGGTTTTGCAAACTGTGAGGTATATCTCTCACATGGAGGTATAGACCATGTCGAGAAGAAGTGTGAAGAATCTCTTTATTTGTCCATTGTTAGAATAAATCTATGGGGTGGGATGGTCTAGCGGTTAAGATGCTAGCTTGTTGTCAGTTCAAGATCCAGGTACCACAGGACAGGATGATTACCTGTTCTTGCCCCAGCTCCTGTAGTTTGAAAACATGCAAATGAAAATAGATAATTGGTTGCCAGCTTAGTTGGAAAATAACAGTGTACCCGAATACTGAGCTGTGCTCTCAGCATATAGACATGCTGGCCAGGTGACCACAGAAATGTCTTCTGACAACATTGGCTCCCTCGGCTAGGAAATGGAGATGAGTACTACCCCTTAGAGTTGGACACAATGGACAAGGGAAACATTTACCTTTTATCTTAACATAAATCTACCTTTACCAAAGTTTCATTGTATTGTTTTCATTGATCATTTGTGTTGACTTTGTAATTGAATTTTTAAAGGAAGAGTGACATTAAGATTAATGGGAGCTATCATGGCAAAAAGTTTAGGAACCCCTGATTTAGAAGTTAGTTTGCTAAGAAGAAGATAAGTTTAAGCTCTTGATTCTCAAAGTTTAACCCTGTAAAGAACATTTAGCTTCCTCCCCAGGTGGAATACCAAGATGTAAGGACCAGAAAATTACAGAAGAGATAGAACTTCATGAGCTGAGAACTGGAGTTCTCAAAAGTTGGGAACAAATCAGTATTTATATATATAAAGTAAGCAGAACACCAGTCCTGCAAAGAATAAACAAACTTTGGAAAAGAAGTCTTGAAATAACATGAATAACTGTTCTTCACAGGAAATTCCATTGTCTGAAGTACTATCCCTGGAACCTGCAAAAAATTTCAGTTTTTTATCACAAGAAGCAAATCCCCACTGCTTTGAAATAACTACAGCTAATGTGATTTATTATGTTGGGGAAAACATTGAAAACCTACCAAGTCTTTCAGTTAATAACAGTGTTCTCACAAATGGTTGTGGCCCAGATGTTGCAAGAATGTGGGAAATGGCAATCCAGCATGCCCTGATGCCTGTCAATCCTAAAGGAGCATCTACTGGTTCAGGACCAAGTTTACACAGTAAGTCTGAGATCTCTGACCCCTATTCATTTATAACACGGAAACATCCCAGACCAATTAAAGGCTCAGTTGCCATCTCCACATCATTGAAGCGACTTATATCAACAACAGACATTTATTAGAAACAGTTTGTTAGATAGTGAACTAATGCTTAAACAGGATAGTAGATACATGAGTGCAAAGAATGAAATGAAATTCTGCATTTTTACCCCAGAACTTAGGTCCATACCAGTAGAGTGGTGTGGTAGCCTAGATGTGGAACTCTCGTCTTACAATCAGTAGGCTGTAAGTTTGATCCCAGGTAGAGACAGGTATTTCTCTCTCAGGGCACAATGAGAATATATATGCTGAACAAAACTCCACATTGGCAACAGGAAGGGTATCTGGCCATTAAACACTCTACTTGTTCCATTCAGTTGCCCAGACTCCACCCCACAAGGGATTATGGGGGTCATTAAAGATGTTGTTGTTGATGATGACTTAGATCCATATCAGTAGGCAGGGATTCAAGTCAGTGTGCTATCAGATAAGTACAGTCAGGCAAAATTTAAATATATTTTCATTACAATTCAATTCTAATTTAATTTGGTTACATCGAAGTGATATATTATTCCTTACTCCTATTCCTGTTTTTTCTTTGCATGTGGCAAGTTCTCACGAATGCATGTATGACTACCTGCTATTTAGTTTACAGTACAGTACAGTTCTTTTACAGTATCCTTTTATTTGATATTATATGTTACAAAATAACAATTGGGTTTTTTCTTTCTAGGAAATATATCCATAAGTATTTCTGTATCCAATTGTGAAGTCCAAGAGAATGTGGTAATTCACTAGTTACTTCCATATTTTATTGCGGCAATATGATCCCCCCCCCCATTCTTTACTTGCATTTAAGTATAGTTAAACAAATGAAGACATTCTCAGTTCAAATCTAATTCCATTCACGGCACTATAGAAGACATTAAATGAATCTAATAAGAGAAAGTTCCTTCCTTAAATGGACATTTTCCCTGTTGTTACTATACCTGCCTTCCTGCTGCATAGCAACCTCCTTGCCTGGGTTCTAGATTTCATTTCCATGTTGGTTCCTCTTGTAGACTTACACATTTGGAGGACTTTAATCTGCTTTCTCTAGGTGTGAGATCTTATGCAGCTCAGGAGTTCATGGCTACTATCATAGTCATAGGCTATGTTTCCAAGGGAGCTTGGAGTGTCTGTTGCACAGTGCATTTGAGACCTTGATTGACACTTTGAACAGGAGGGCTGAGACCTTACATAGGACTGAACCTTTGTAACCTTTTCTCTCTTGTGGATCCTATCATTCTCCATGTTTTATAGAGGAACTGAGCAAGATAAAATGGGAGAAGTCCTAGAACATTGTTCGGACCCAACAAGGGATGAACTCATCTGAACATGGGTTACAGATGCTATTATGGCCTACTTTATAGTAATAAGAACAGTGAAGCATCAGTACTTCGCTGCTGTTATTGAACTTGCAGATAGTATTTTAGATGACACATATCATCCTTGGTAGAGGGACTGCAGAAATACCCCAGCAGAGCCATGTAGCAGAATTTGTTTAGAGTCTATTGGATAAAGTCAAATTCATTTGAGCTGGACACTAGTCTTGTTCTATGTTCAAAGGAGATGCCTGGAGCAAAGTCTTGCCTTGTTATCTGGTCGGCCTGATAAGTGGGCAGGGTCTTTATGACTGTAAACATGGCCACTTGCTCTTTAGTCATTCCCTCCTGACTAATTAAAGCTGCTCAGGGGATGTCATGTGAATGGGTTCTAGTGGTGAGAGTTTTTCCTTGGGTTGTTTCTCTGCCTCTTGACGAATTAATTCACCCTTTCCTCAAGTAACCATTGCTGGATCTCACTATACTAGACAAAAAAAATTTGTCCAGTATCTAACCTCCCCTTACAGGGAAGATAGCAAATAGCAGCTTCAAAGGATCCTAAGTGAAGTGAATTTTCTGGACCCTTTTTGGTTAGGATTCAGCCTTGGGCATGACATGGAAACAGCATGTTGTGCTTTTGGATGATATCTTTTGGAAGCAAGATGGGTCTTGTGCATCCATCTGTGTCCTGCTTCACCTCTCAGAGGCCTTTGATACCATCACCCATGGTATTTTTCAGCACCAGCTCTGGGGATTGGGCAGCATCTTACTGTACTGGTTCTTCTCCTTTCTCTTGATATCAGTCAGTGGTGATTGAGGGCCTGGGGGGGGGGGGAGAAAGATCCCTTAGCCACAAGATGGTGAACCTATGGCACATGTGCCACAGGTGGCACTGTGGGCATGTGTATCATCGCCAGCTGCTCTTCCGGGTTCTAGCACTGACTGGTGAAGAGCTGCTCTCTTCTGGATTCTAATGAAGACCATCTAGTCGGCACGTATGCATGCGCCAGAACCCAGAAGAACAGCTGTTGATGACATGCATGTGCACCAGCCAGCTGATCGCTTCCGGGTTCCCGCACTCCAGTGCATGCACGCACTCGGTGCCGAAAAGATTAACCATCACTGCCTTAGCCTCTACCTTGAAGGGTGCTGCAGGATTCAGTGCAATCTCTGCACCAATTCAACATCTATGTGAAGCCACTGGGTGAACACATATCTCCCAAGTACCTTTTCCATAAGCAATTATACCCATATCCTTTAACTGTTTATCATAGGGCTTGATTTCTAGAATTTTCAGCACCACAGTAACTTCCTTTGAACTTATTTCCAATTTTCAGTGTCTTTTTTTTAAACTGGGTGATACCCAGGACTGGGTTTAGAACACCAACAGATTGGATTAGGGCAGTGTAGAGTGAAACAATAGAACCTCCTTGACCAAAATTGATTTAAACCGCCTTTGCCAACATTTAGGATACTGCCCTTTGTGCAGAATTCAGTGGCATGTTTGTATGCTATTTGCTTTAATTTAAGTTTTAAGAAATTAATTCAAGTTGCAAAACATTTGTATCCACAGGATATCAGTACAGTATATCAAATATTTCCAGATGAAGTTTTAGGATCTGGACAGTTTGGAATTGTTTATGGGGGTAAGACTCTTTAGCTATACATTGGGGAAATGAAATGAAATGTAAATGCAGGATTTCTAGTAATTTAAAATTTATTTATGTTATATAAATAGGAAGTTATTCAAAAGGTAATTGCATGGAAAACAAAAGGCAGTATACTTATTTCATCATTTTCAACAAGTGGCACAATGTTTTATAATTTGAGATATACTGTTCATGATTATCTGAAAGCACTTTGCGATATTTTCTTTTGCATTTGCATTTTTTGAATTTGAATTCTGAGAAATTTACTCCCCCGTGAGTATTACTGTGCTGCTTTTTTAAAAGGAAAAACTTGCTCAGGCTGCTGAACAAAATTCGGAACAAAACTGGCTTCACTTGAGAGTTGGCTTCATATTCATCCAGTTCTTTTTCTATAATAACTTGTGGGAAACATGTTGCACATATTGGAGTATGACTAGTGGCACTTTCTTTCAAATGCCTGGTCTGTTTGCATGGCAAAATTATGGACTATATTATTTTTTAGTTCTTAGACAAGTTTCATAATTTCTTGACATTTTACAAAATGTCAAGAAACTACATAACAGAGGTTCATTTGCAAACTCTGCTTCTACAAAATGTAGAAGTAGTTTGCAAATGAAGTTCTGTTATGTAGTTTGGATAGATTCGTAGCCCTTTGCTCTTGCAAATATGTATAAAATATTATGTAGAGCAAGAAAAAGAGAATGGCACATAACTTTTCTTCTTATCCTATTCTCTCTCTCTCTCTCTCTCTCTCTCTCTCTCTCTCTCTCTCTCTCTCTCTCTCTCTCTCTCNGAACTGAGCATGCCTGGCTGTGGAATTCTGGGAGTTGAAGTCCACAAGTCTAAAAACAGCCTCACCGGGGGTAAAGCTGACCGCACGTCACTGCCTAGAAGATACTTCTGCCGCTTTATCTGCCATTGGAGCATAGAGCTCTCTTCTACCGTCAAAACCATTGACCATCTTCTCCTGTAACCCTGGAAAGAAGCCCTTACCAGGTGCTACCAGCCGGGCCAGGCGGACCAAGGTTTTTTAAGGAGGTGTTACTCCTCCATCCCTCACCCTTTGTCCTGGCTTGTGACAGGCAGAACCTGGCTTCCCAGGGCCCAGGATGGCGGGTTTCCTTTTCCACTTTAGTGTGGTGGTTAAATCACATGCACAGTGCTCATGGATTGCGTCAAGGCGGGTGGGACGAGCCTCCCGCAGCCGCTGCTATTGGTTCGCTTGAACTGAAGAGAACCGGCTTAACCTCTGGGTTAAACGTCTAGTTCTGACTTAGATTGGAAGCAACCTGGCTAATTTTGAGCCTGTTATTCCTTCTCAGCCCCAGAAAAAGTCCAGGAGAAATGTATGTTGCCAAGCAAAATGCGTGGGCTTGTCCAGGTCTCTGTAAGAAGCCAAGACTGATTCAAAAAGATGTACAAGGATGTGCAGGCACAGACTTCCAAGTATATGATATGCACAGCATGTCTTCATCTCCTTGAATTGTTAAAGATCTGCCTGAATGGTGATAATGACCATAGCAAGGATAATGATCTCATTGACCACCTTCAGTTTCGTGTCAAATCTGATTTTTTTTTCTCTAAAAAAAAAGTTGGTAACATTCTTAATCTAGAACTGAAGGAGATCCAGTTAATTGCCATTTCTGCTGTGTTTTTGGGCAATCTTCCTTCTTTCTGTCCTTCCTTCCTTCCCTCCCTCCTGTCCTGCCTCCCTCCCTCCCACTTCCTTCCCTCCTCCCTCTCATTTCCTTCCTTCCTTCTCACCCTCCCTCCTTTCTTTCCTCCTCCTTCCCATTTCCTTCCTTTCCTCCTCCCTCTCATTTCCTTCCTTCCTTCTCACCCTCCCTCCTTTCTTTCCTCCTCCCTCCCATTTCCTTCCTTTTCTCCTCCCTCCCATTTCCTTCCTTC